GGCACAGCACGGGCGGGCAGCCAGGATGCAGGCGGCGAACAAGGAGCACCTGTACAAGCTGCTGGTAATCGGCGACCTGGGCGTGGGCAAGACCAGCATCATTAAGCGCTACGTGCACCAGAACTTCTCCTCGCACTACCGGGCCACCATCGGCGTGGACTTCGCGCTCAAGGTGCTGCACTGGGACCCGGACACCGTGGTGCGCCTGCAGCTCTGGGACATCGCAGGTGAGAACCCGGGAAGGAGGTCAAGGGCGGGCGGGGGCGCCTCGCAGCCGGTTCCCAGCCCCCAGCAGAAGGGTGGCGGCCAAGGGGGAGAGCCAGGTCTCCGGGGGCGCCGCGCGGCCGAAAGAGACTCTTCCTGGTGGGTTGGAAAGTTGGTTTCAAAGAAAACAAAAAAGTTTCTCGCTGTCGCTGAAACTTGCAGCGCGTTCTCCGGCGCGTGGAGCTGTGGCTGCAACTCCCTCCCACACGCGCTCCCGGGAGCCTTCTGGCCTGCGCGGCCTCCCCGGACGCAGAGGGGGACTATCTGGAGTTGCATTCAGTTCTTGGCCTCCAGCTCATTTTCCGGGCTTTGTGCTCCGGCAGTCCTGCTGGTGACGCGACCCTGAGTGTCATGCCCGCCTTCCTTCCCCAACCCAGGGGAAGCCCCTAGCCTAGACCGGTTCACAGCGGGAACCCAGGGAATTCCCGGCTAGAAGAGCCGCTCACTTTATTCCAACTTTCTTCTCTCTTCTCGCCTCAGTCAAGCGAGTATGAGGTTGTCTGCTTTGAGTAAGCCACAGCCTTACAGAGTTACAGTATTATTTCTCTCCCCTGCACCTACACGCCATCTCTATCTCTCTGTCATCTCTCAAAAGGAGGTTGTGTAGATATTTTAGGGGCACTTTGGTCCAAGGGTTTATGACATTCACCACACGATTTCTTGATTTGGTCCTAAAATTTTCATTGAGAAACCTGGAAAATGAGAAGTTTCCTTATAGTGTTTGAAATCAGAATTTGATTCCAAGAGTTTGCACCAGGAGTTAGGCACAGTGGAGTGTGAAGATGCGAAGTGTCTACTCCAAGAGTGAGTGCCTGGACTGAGGCTGTTTGCAACCTGGCCCTGTACAGCCCTTCATTACCGGTCCTGGCTCTGCCACTCCGTAACCTCAGACAAGTCCCTGCAGCTCAGTGCATCCCTGCTCAATGGAAAGGGGTTGGACAATGACAGACAGCTCAGGAATCTTCCTACTCAGAAGTGTTCACTTTTTAAATTTAATTAATTTATTAAATCATTCTTTATTGTTGAAAGTATTACAGATGTCCCCTTTTCTCCTCCATTGACCTCCTCCAGCCCGCTCCCCACCCCAGGCCCTTACCACCCCATATATGCATGGCCTCATCTGTGTCCATGGGCCATGCATATATGCATATAAGGTCCCTAGTTGATTACCTCCCCCGACTTCCCTCTGGTATACCACACTCTATTCTATGCTTCCATGTCTCTGGATCCACTCCATTCATCAGTTTATTTTGTTACTTAGATTCCACAAATGGTGCTCAGAAGTTTTAAGGTCCTCTGGGACTCTGGGTGAATCTCTTCAATCCCACTTCACCTCTGACTGTTTTATGGTCTGTGGCACCAAGATCCTCTTGAGGTGCTGGACTGAACTAGCTGCTTCTCTTTCAGAAAATAGGTTCATTTTAGCTGGTGCATTCAACTGGAAACACTTTATCATGGCTTGAAGCAAGAACAAATGTGGAACCTTTTTGAAAGGGTATTTCTGATTCTTTGGGACTCCAGTGCCTCTTTAATCATCAGCTGCCAGGTCTTATGATAAATTCTTACGAAACACTGCTGGCATGGAGACAGATCCGTGCATTTAGAGTCATCTTCAGCAGCTTTTGCGGCACAGGGGTTATCAGAGACTGGAAGATGTCATCAGCCACTATCTGATTGGGCTTTTCATCCAGAAAATCCACTGTGAGTCGAGCACTTTTGTTGCTGCATTTTTGTGTCTGAAAACTCTTTTGGATGAGCTGGAAGAGTCCAGGGTTCAGGTTTAGAATTAACTTCCTGTTTGAAAGAAACTGTTGCCATAATTATTTAGTGTAAGTAAGGATGTGACCCCAGCATGTTATAGAATTCCCATGGATCTCAGTGTCTTCCCCTGGCAGGGAAGAAAGAAAGAGCCAGTTCCTACCCATCTCATCTCAGCCTTTCCCATCCATTCTGCACTTCTGGAAATCAAACATTTTCAACTTTTCTAAGCTGATTTGCTTCACATTTACCTCATTATCTAGCTATATCAGGGGTGGGCAAACTTTTTGACTCGAGGGTCACAATGGGTTCTTAAACTGGACCGGAGGGCCGGAACAAAAGCATGGATGGAGTGTTTGTATGAACTAATATAAATTCAAAGTAAACATCATTACATAAAAGGGTTTTTTAGTTTTATTCATTTCAAATGGGCCGGATCCAGCCCGCAGGCCGTAGTTTGCCCACGGCTGTGCTAGACAGTACTTTCTATCTAGGGGAACTACAAGGATTATTGTTACAGTAGCTAGGAACATCAATGATGAGAATCATTGATCAGCTGCCTCCTGCATGCCCCCTACTGGGGATTGAGCCCACAACCCTGGGCATGTGCCCTGATCAGGAATGGAACCATGAC